CACCTCTTTTTTTGGGGGGGGGGGGGAGGGAAGCAAGGGAAACTAGATAAATATTTAAGTTACATGGATGATTTAACCTGTAAACGGCAATTTCCCTCCCCTGCTTCTTTCACAGCTGCTTTTCTTCTGAAATACTGAACGTTTCCATTTCATTGTCTCGGCTTTTTGGAGAGAAAGATCACCGAAGTGGATGTTTAAAAATAATGGGTGTTTTCAGATCTTGGCTACTGGGAAATAGCCAAGCTTCCCAAGTACTCCTTGGAAAATAAGCAAAAGCAGAGGAAATCCAACAGCTGGACAGACAGCTCAAGAAGTAGGAGGAAGTCTAGTTTTCAAAAGTATCCATTTTTGGTCAAATCCAAAATGCTCCAAGAGGAGCAGGAGTGCAGCTCAGATACTTTCAGGCCAGGCAATGTTTCCTGCTTGGCTTCTGGGCTGTAAACAATGTGCAAGGCCTCTTAGCTGCTTTCTAGTCCACAAGAGTTCAGAGGTACAAAGTAAAAAATTAAACAAGTCTCTTTGTAAAGACTTAAATCATTTTTCTTTGGATACAGTTGTCCTAGATGGTTGACAAAAGCAGGGAGAAGGCTTCCAAGCATGTATAGAAAGAGTGGAACAGGATCATCTTCTCCAACTGATAGTTGTAAAAGATACCAAGATGTGTGGGGTCAGCAGTAATGTTTGAAGTAGGAAAATTAACAGAAAGAAACGTGACAATCTTAAATTTTCTATACAACACCAAGCAACAGACCTTTACAGATGCATCAGAATGCATAGCCAGGTTGCATTTTCCTTGATAAAGCTTCAGATTACAGCTTTGTTTTCCTGGTTACTCTACCCAGGATTTGTTTACCAGTTACTTGGGAGATCAGAGACTGCATGTACAGTTAATATACAGGTAAAGTTAACATATACAGGTAAAATGTTTTCAGTAACAAACAACTGTGAACAGAATAGCTAGGTTCCAAGGCACAGAAGCTGAGATGGTTGAATTTAAACTTTTTTTTTGTTATTTTTGTTAAACCATAAAAAAGACTACTTATAAAAATAACACAAGCATTCAAAGTAATAAAATGAAAGGTGGTTATGGTTTTGGCATCATTTAATTGAAGCTGCTGTTCCCAGTAGCTCATATATTGCATGGAAATCCTAAGTTATAAAAAAATTAGAGGAAGTGGAAAGAGTTACTATTCAAACACAAATAAAACACTTGAGGCTATGCAAGCATCAGCAACTCCCCAGCCCTGAATTTGAGTCTCCCACACATTAGGAAGAACAACAGAGTTCTGCTTTAATGATGTAGATTTGTGCAACTTTTTGCAATATGCAAGATGTCCTTTCTCTTGGGTTTTCCCTTTTATGTTAAATAACTCTTTTACAAGTAGCTTTAAGCTATTTGATTAAAAATATGTTTCCCTAGTACGTATGTTTTCTGTCTCGCTGTTTATGATGTCTGCTCTGGAAGACAAGCTTGTGACTTGATTGTATTATGGAGTTTTGTAATGTGGAAGAAATTCTTTTTAAGACTTTAAATTTTTTATTATACTGAAAGTCCAGTAATGGTCATAACCAACTTTTCTTCCGTCTGTGGGTTCATATGTAAGCATATACTTACTTGAGAGGGAAACTATGAAAAACACTCAATACCAGACTTAAGGTCATTCCCTCCTTTCTTCATTCCTTACCCTAATACACAAACAGAGTTGGGGTGGAACATGATCTATAGCAATATAAAATTTATTTTACAGGCTGAGGCTTAGTGTATTTGCTTTTCTACTGTTACATCCAAGGGCGCACTGTCAGCATAAAATTCACATTTCTTTCTGATTTTTTTCCTTAGCTATTTTTTGCTACACTTAATTTTTAAGCTTCGAATAATTGTGGGGAAAAAAAACCCCAAAACAACATGCCAATGCTATTACTAGAGGGAAAACAAATTTCTCTATTGTGCTGCTGTTTACTTTGTGTAATGTGTTTCTCTGTTTCCTTTCTGGAAGTAGAGGTGGTTTTGTGTTTTGTGAACAACCCAGGCAAACTGCATTACTGGAACTGGGAAAATGTGGCTGTAAACCTTGCAGCTCTGCCCAGGGTGGGCAATACTGGGTGTTACTACAATCAGCCTTGAAAAAAATACTAGGTTTTGAGCTGATAATACTCTTCAGAAAGTATCTTAATTGAGGGAGGTTTGATGCATCTGTTCTTTAATATGAAGGTGACCTTTAAAGCCTGCTAAAATTCCCAAATGTCTTTTTTTTTTTGTTGATGCTTCTGGATTTGCATCAAGCTCTAAAACAAGTTTCACAGCTGTTGTGAAAACTCTAAGCATGTGCTAGTTATCAGCTGCTGTGTATTGTAGGGGTAAGAACCTCTGTTAAATCTCACTTCCTTTTTGTTTGATGCTAGAAGTAGCAACCCTAATAAGCCTTGGTTTTAGTTTGGCTTTGCTATTTTAAGCTCACATTCAAAAGAAATATGAGTACATGTAAGAACAGCAGACTTCATGAAAATGAGTAAATGTGTTTTCCTTGACACCTGCTTCTCTACTCTCGAGGCAAAACTTGGAGTTGCTGATTGTCTTCCAATGAAGGATCAGGTTACAGCCTTATCAGAAAGTACACAAAAATGTTCAAAACAAGCAATTTAGCTTTTCAGAGGTGACCAAGTGTTTTTGTTAGCTACAGCTATGTATGATTTTGCAATTTGATTCTGTGCACTGTGATTGTTTTTAATTTAATGGCACACCCAAGTGGCCAAACAAAGGCATATCACTCTAGATTGGCAACAAGTTACCTGCAGCGAAACTGCCAAGACCCAGAGTTTTTATGCTTTGAATATAGTTGCCAATAAACAAAAACTTACTGGTTAAGCAAGCGCTCTTCTGCCAAGCTCCAGAGCACAATCTTTTAAAAAAATGTTCCACTTCTGTGGAACAGAAGTCTGGAAGTCGGACAATCTGGATTCTCTTTGCAGTTCTGCCATGGCCTTGTTCCATGCCTTTAGCCAAATGTCTTGAGATCTGGATTTGAGAGGTGCACTGAGAGTTCAGACAGCATCCCTTCTCTTTTGGAGTTTGTCTTATTTTAAAATAAGCTTAGAAGCTGCTACTTTTGCAAAAGTCAGAGTTTTGAACTATAACTTACTGATACTGTTTTAGGAGTTAAGTGCTAAGCAATAGCACACCCAATTTACATAAAGCTGTAAATAACGTGTTTTTTCATCCTTTTATAGAAAGCGTGACTATGAAGGGTTTCTGTGTTCTCTGCTGTTGCCTGTAGAATCTCGAACCTCTGCTTTTGCCTTGAGAGCCTTCAATGTGGAACTGGCTCAGGCAGGTATTAAAATATATTTGTGAACTCTGGAAATGTAGAATAACAGTTTCAATATTCTAAATTACACTAGCAGGTGGTGTTTTGCTGAGATTAACTTTTTGTACTGTAAGGGGCAATGAATCAATAGTGCAATACAAACCTCTAATTTTGAATGGCCCTTGGAAAGTAGCCAGCCTCCTCCAGTTTGTTTTGTTTATGTACATAATTTTTCTGACTTTCCTCTTTGTTGTGCATTTTAAAATTAAATTATAACAACAGGCTGTGGTCCTTGATACTGTTATGTGATTGCATCTGTGTCCTGGCTTCAAATGCAGCGACTGAATCGGTAAAGTGCAGCTAAATCCTATCTGTAGAAGGTCTGTCAAAAACTTGGATGATATAATCAGTCCCAGGTCTTTGTTGGCAGAAGCTAGGTGACGGAAAGGCTGCCGGGAGGGAAGTTTGTAATTAGAGAGTTGTGGGAGGGGAGCGGCTGCAGTCTCTCCCCTTTGCTAGGTGGCCAGAAACTGCCAGTGCAACCAGGAAAGTTGGTAGTGCTTGCCAGAAAGGAGCAATCCAGGAAATGTGCTGACCAAGCAAAATCCCGGATCAGCTTCTGTGGGCTGTGCTTCTGGCAACCTGTGGTGCTGCCTTCCCTTGCTGCTGTTACCATTGCTTCTTTTCCTTCTGGGAAGAAAGCTAAGGTGAGAGTTGCCCAGGACTTAATCTCCATGGGTTTCAAAGTTGTGTTGTGGTGAAGATTTTTTTACTCTCTGTAGTGTTCATATGCTTTATGAGGAGTAAACATAAATTCAGAACCGAGCACTTTCCCTACTGAGTTTGGCTGTGTCCTGTGTCTGTCTTTTCAATGTAGATAGACCAGGTGCCTTAAAGACACTCTGAATTTCACTCCAGATGTATCCTTTCCAGATTAAAGACTCCATAACTCAGAAGACTACAGGTTTGATGCGAATGCAGTTCTGGAGGGAGGCTGTGGAAGATATATACTGCGATAACCCACCACATCAGCCAGTTGCTGCAGAACTGTGGAGGGTAAAATACACCTTTATTGTCCTAAAATTCACTTAACTAAAATACTACTGTGGGAAATAATGTCACTGTTTTGTGTGTGCTGTGTTGCATAGTTAACAGTGTTATTTTATAGAAAACAGATAATGTAAATTGTGTTTGTGTATGTGTGTGATATTTTAAGTTACCTACAACCAAACAGCAGAGTTGGAGAAGGAGGATGTTTAGATAGGACCTACTTGGAGGGTCAGACTTCTGTGAACCGTCTGCTTTTTTCTCTTCTGTTTAGGTGAAGGACAGAGTAAATTTGGTAAGCTGATAGCAAGTGAAGTGCCTAAGTATATTTTCCTGAGCCAGTGATAGTCCTGCCTGAAGAGATTAAGCTGTACAAAAAGACAGGAGACTAAGCACAGAGGTTGAACTAGCAAATAGGGTATGAGGAGAAGCCCAAGACCTTCATACCTAGTTACTGGATAATAGGAAGAATCATAATACAGTCTTCTCGCATCAAGAGTTGCTTGATGACTTCTATTTATATATTATGTTTTGCACAGATCCTTTTGCGTGCATTGAGTAATGGGGAACGTACTTGTGAATTTAATGGTGCATTGAGTAACATGGAATGTACTTGTGAACTTAACAGTTTATTTTTACCAAGATGCCTGAGCTCTGCAGGCACCAGAATATCACACATAAAGTACGTCTACAGATCTGTTCCTCTGCTGGTCATGGCCAAGGAAACAGAGGCTTTCTTGCAAAATTTTTTGTTTCTAGTTAGGACTGTCATTGGTATGGTCGATGGATGATTGAAGATCTGAAGGCTGCGTAAATGGATTTCCCCTTGATGCTGATATAGAACTACAGAGTAATTTAGTTGGTAAGGATCTCTGATTGTCATCTAGTTCAACTTGCCACTCAGAGAAGGTCTATCATCAAAGTTAGATCAGGTTGTCAGGGTCACATTGAGTTGAATTTTGAATTTCTTTGGGGATGGGAATTCCATACATTGCTAACTTGTCATCTTAGGGCCACGGGCTACAGCAAGTCTTAGAACCTTCCAAAAGAGCAGCTACCGTAAGGCCTCTACTCTATAAGATCAGAACTTGCATTTAAACTAAAGATCTCTGAGCTCCTGGACAGGAGAAGCTGCAGTTTGTCTTGATCTCAATAGCTGAATACAGTTAATGTAGATCCCATAGGTAGTTAGGTTTGTGGACCTGCTGAAAAACAGGCAGTGAAATGTGGAGTCTTCATCCAAGTATTCATCTACATTGTGTCTGTTAAAATCCTGAGAAAAGCAGGACACTGACTGTAACGCTGGGTTAGAACAATGCAGTTCCTGCGGCATTAGAGCATTTCACTTGTTGCCATCTTGGCTTCACGTCCACTCTGCTGCACCTCTGAGACCACAAAAATGAGTCCTTTCCAAATCCTCTTTCAGTGATTTTTGGCAGTCCTTAAACTGTGGCCTCTCCCTGACTCTTCCTCCTTGAAATGTGAAATAAAGCATAAGTGAGCATTTGTTCCTGTCTATCAACACTCGTGTTTAGATTAAAATTCGTATTTAAACAAGATACAGTTTGTTTAACTAAGAGAAAACATAGGTAAAGCCAAGAAGTAAAATAAAACACCTGTTACAGTCACTTAGGAAGACCAGCGCTATTCATAGGTGTCTCCATCTCAGATAAAGTGTGTGCCTTAGCCACAACAAAGCGTTTGTACAATTAGAGTGAAGACTGGCAAATGTTGTGAGCCTTTTTATGGGATTATGGGAGTTGAAGATGCACCCAGGGTGATATTTTAATGCGGACATTAAAATGCAGAATTGGTCGTTTTGCATGTCAGTCTGTCTGTGCCTTTGCTTTTTATTTCCTTCTCTCTGTCTCTCTTCCAGCATATGGCAAACTTCCCAGGAACAAGACCGTTTTCTCCCAAAATGCTTTTGTCTCCTTTCCAAGGAGGAACTTGCTTTAGTGTACATTAACTTATTTTTGTTTCTGAAGATAACCCTCTCATTTAGTTGTCTGACTGAGTGGGTTAGGTACAAGTTAGCTTTGGGTATGATTGTATATATTCTTTTGACCACTTTTAATTTCAGGCTGCTTGTGTGTGCATCAATGTGGGGTGGAAATGTTAGCAGAAGAGTAACTTATAAAAAAAATCCAAAACATTGTTGTGTTTTAACCCCAGCCGGCAACTAAGCACCACACAGCCGCTCGCTCACTCCCCCCTGGTGGGATGGGAGAGAGAATGGGAAGGGTAAAAAACTGGTGGGTTGAGATAAAACCAGTTTAATAATTAAAAAGAAGAAATAATAATAACAACAACAACAATAGTAATAATAAAAATTGTAAGGAAAAGAGAAAAAAAATGAGAGAAAAATAAAACCCAAGAAAGACAAATGATGCAAATGAAAACAATTGCTCACCACTCTCCGACCGATGCCCAACCAGTTCCTGAGCAGTGGCCCCCCCCGCCAACTTCCCCCCTAGTTTCATTGCTGAGTATGATGTCATATGGTATGGAATATCCCTTTGGTCAGTTGGGGTCAACTGTCCCAGCTGTGTCCCCTCCCAACTTCTTGTGCACCCCCAGTCGACTCGCTGGCAGAGCAGTGTGAGAAGCAGAAAAGGCCTTGACGCTGTGTCAGCACTGCTCAGCAGTAACTAAAACATCAGTTTGTTATCAACAGTGTTATCAACACTATTTTCAGCACAAATCCAAAACATAGGCCCATACAAGCTGCTATGAAGAAATTTAACTCTATCCCAGCCAAAACCAGCACAACATTCAGATGTAAATCATTCAGATGTTGAGATATCAATTGCGACCCTTTCCAACAGCTGAGACTGCCAGTCATACTCCTTTCTCACAAAACAGAAAATTGATTTTAAAGTGGAAGAAAAAATTGGCCTATCTTTGTGGTAAGATTTCACCTTACGTATGATTTCTCTAAAGGAAGACCAATATAAGACAATCCAAACAGAACTGGTTGTGAAATAAGATGTTGAAAAAGAATTCAGAAAGTATTTTTAGGAGCTCTGATAGCTCTGAACACTGCAGAGCGCCGGAGCGAACTAACAATCCAACCTGACCTGGTGATCTTTGCATTCAAGCTGTGACTTTATTCCTACATTTCAGCAAATACCCCAAGAATGACCTATTTGAAGAGCACAGCTTCCCAAATGTTCAAGAATGTCATTGCAATTCTTAGAAAGAAGGATTTGGAAAGACACCTGAACTCTCAAGTATTGCAGAGCTGTTAATAGAATTAGCATGTCTTTTGCACAGCATATTTTGTGTATACTCTTTTCTTGCTCTTGAGTTTGTATGAGGACAATTTTGATTTTCCAGAAGAAATACTAATCATGTTAAATGTGTTCCCGAAGTTTTGTATATCCCAGAGTACTCGCATTTGGACTCCAAGAGTTTTATGCACTAGTAAAGTATGTAAATAGCCTTTAATAGTTTTTCTAGAATTATTAATAGCTCAACTCTCAGTGACTTTAATATAAACTTACACGGCAACTGTATGATATTTGTTCTTACTTATCTGTCTATTTTGAAAATACGAGCAGTGAGGCCTAATTCTCCATTCATTTCTGTGGAAGAAACCAATTTTCAAAACTTGAAAAATGAGGACCTGTGTGTTTGAATGAAGGTAGCTCAAAATGGATGTAATGTACAAATTGGGTAGTTTAGCAGTACTCAGTTTGGTGCTTTAAGTCTTGACCTGTGACTATTTCAAGGATTTCATTTACAAAATGATACTCGAGATGAACAAGTGAGAAGCAAAACTGACATTTGTAGTTGTAACTTAAAATTTGCCTTTTCACATACCAAGTACTTCCTCAAGCAGATTTTGTTGAATCAACGAGATCTAGTCTTGTCAAACCTTCAAAAAATATTTACAAATATAATGGATGAAAAGAAGTTGAAAGTGAGCTATAAAGGCTAAGATTGTGAGAAATGTGCTTGTCGTGATTTTGGCTGGGATAGAGTTAATTTTCTTCCTAGTAGCTGGTACAGTGCTGTGTTTTGGATTTAGGGTGAGAACAATGTTGATAACACACCCATGTTTTAGTTGTTGCTAAGTAGTGCTTACGCTAGCCAAGGGCTTTTCAGCTTCCCATGCTCTACCGACTGAGAAGGCATACCATGTGACGTCATGCTCAGTACATAAACTGGGGAAAGCTGGCCGGGGGGGCCGCTGCTCGGAGACTGGCTGGGTGTTGGTCGGCGGGTGGTGAGCAACTGCATTGTGCATCACTTGCTTTGTATATTCTATTATTATTATTTTATTATTTTATTCTATTTCAATTATTAAACTGTTTTTATCTCAACATACAAGTCTTCTCACTTTTACTTGTCCAATTCTCTCCCCCATCCCACTGGAGGTGGGGGGAGCGAGTGAGTGGCTGTGTGGTGCTCAGTTGCTGACTGAGGTTTTAAACTATGAGTGCTCCATAGGTTTTGTTTATAAACATTTATATGTGTGGTTGTAACCTTTTCTGACAGTGTGGTATGCAAAATTCAGTGTGTAAGAGGATTGAAGGTAAGTTGATAGAATGAAGTGGTACAGGAAGTCAAGTACAAGATAAGAGCCAAAAGAAGAATGTGTGAATGTGAGATGCTGTGGGATACTTTTTTAAACAAAACCATAATATTCATTATATTACTTTGTTAGGATGCTGTCTTTATAGTATGTGTTGGTATGTTGTACTGATGTTTTCTTGAAAATTTACACGGGAAATCTTACTGATTGACTCTGGAGGAAACTCTGCTCTCTTTGGAGAGTGAACATAGTTACCTGCAAATATTTTGTGGGAACATATGACTCCATGAATGAATAAATTACTTTAAAAAATGCTTTTAAAGAAATGCTTTTAGTTAACATTAATGCTTGATGTCCAAGATTTCATTTTTTGTGCGCAACAACTTGTAACAAATGCCAGTTGAAAATCTTTGTATTTGAAGAAGCCAATTGTATGATTCTGTGATTTTCCACTGGCATACCACTTCGATTTAACCCAGTGAATACAATCCTTGTAAGAAAAGGATTATCTAAAATATATTTCAGCCTTCAGGATGCAGTACTACCATCACTTTGTATACATTAACATGGATGTTATATTTGATAATTTTCAGGCTGTCAAGAGGCATAACTTGACTAAAATGTGGTTCATGAAGATCATTGATGAAAGAGTAAGTATTTACCATTCAAGGTCTGATTCTGGTTTTAGTTGTATATGTTTTTTTCCCCCTTAATTTTATGTGTTTATGTGTAAAACAAAAGCTTAACTAATTAATCTTTTCCAGACAGTAGTATTCCTCTTTAAGAATGGTACTTCTGTATTTCCATTTAATTCTCCTTTGATGCCCCTACTCACAATTTCTGTTATTTCTAGCCAAAACGGCTAATAGAATCCTTTGTTTAGTTTTACTTTAAAATAGATGTAGTTTGTGGGTCGACATCTTTCTTGTTCCCTGCTTTGATAACCAGTGTATCTATGCTCATGTTTTCTGTTGCTGGTCTCTATTCCTGATTTGAAGTGGTTACCCCTAGAGGTAATCCATTGGGAGGTACACTTAGATACCTTTCTGTATGTAAGTGAGGGAAGTTCCACCCTATGGGATTAAGTATGCATCCATATGCAATGTTAAGAATTCTGGAAAACTACATTTTAATAGAAATGGAGTTGAAGATGGGCAAGAAGGGAAACCTGTACACGGTCTCTTTTTCGCCATTCCAATCCTGCCCCAAGAGAAAGGACATGTTGCATATTGCAAAAAGTTGCACAAATCTCTGTCATTGGCATCATCTTATTCCTCCTCACCTCTTTTCTTACCATGTCAATTTTGCTCCTAAATAGCCTTCTCTTGGGATGAGTAATGGATATAAAATCTCAAAAATCACATGACCCATCTGAGCCTTTCTGCCACACTTAGCTGCTTCTCCTTATTGTGGCTGTGGAGTTTTTTCTAAGTAGTGTTGTAAATTGGAGCATTCAAATCGTGTGAATTTCAAGATAACCACTCTTCTGGGAAAAACAAGAGGAGGAATTTCACTGGTACAGTGATGCTGCTACCAACTCTGACACAAGGGCAAGAATGAATAACTGAGGGCAGGAATTTCTTAAGCTAGCTTTGCTGCTAAAGTTAGTGTCTCATGAAGTTATACCTTGAGAAAATTGATGGTCTGTTACTTGCGGAGTGTCATTGCTATGAAAGACTTCAGAGTTTTTTAATCCTAAGACTGGTATGTTTTAACCATAAAAGCCACTAGGACAGGAAGAATGCTGGAGGATGTTATATTTTGGGGGGGTATTTGCATATGACTTTGAAACTCGTGTGTATTTGATGGATTGATTTTTGTGCATGTTTTAAAAAATACATTCTTATTTATCTAAATTTCTCTGTGCTTCAGATGCAAATTAAGTACTAAAATTGGCAACCCCATAGTGTAAGAATACCATACGATGTTTTGTTTTGGCTGTGTCTTTTTTATGAAGAATTCTGATTTCTTATTATTGGAAAAGGTTATATTTGCTCCAGTAACCAGACTTGGCTGCAGTTGCATGTAGTTATTTGGTTATGTTAGACTTGCTATAAGCTTTAATGACTACTTCTATCTGAGCTTGTACTCTCTGTCTCTTGATTTTGTCCTTTTTTTTCTAATAGTGGATTAGGCTGACCTGACTATAGTAAAAAACTTGCAGAAATAGCAGTTACATTTAGATTTTACTGAAGTTCTGTGTTCATATTACAGGAGAAGAATTTGGATGATAGAGCGTACCGTAACATCCAGGAGCTTGAAACATATTCTGAGAACACTCAGAGTGCTCTCTTGTACCTCACCTTGGAAATGCTGGGTAGGCATTTTCCCCTTTTTAGATTTTGTTGATGAACTCATTAGTGCAGGTACAATATTTATTGATGTTTCAAAAAGCCCACTCTTTTTCCACTGGAGTTTAATTTCAGTAGAAGTTGTCTTAGGTAATACTTCAGATATCTTTTGAATGCTCAACCATAATCTGGAATCTTACTGCACCTGTCCTAGAACTACGTACTTTCCTTAGAAGCTGCTCAGTGGAAAGCTCATTGAAGTGCGGTTTCCTACCGCTCTGTTCTTTGTTGCTTAACACTGTTTTCTCTTTTCTTGCTCCTGTTACAGAGGGTGGTAAATTCAGCTCTTCACCATATTTTCTGATTGTCCCACTTGTCAGAACACAAAGTGCTGTAGTTATTCTGCAGCTGTTGTTCTATATTGCAGTGATGTACACTGGTTATTTTGAAACAGCTGACTTCCGAACCTGTAAACTTCCCTTGGTGATGCTGTAAATTTGGGTCTGAATCCTCTCCTCTTCCTAAAAGTAGGTTAACTATCAGTAATTGAATAGCTAGAAAAAACGCAACAAAGATGATATGATCCTTGTGGTTAAGAGCTAGTATGTGTCATGTCTAATATAATAGTCACAGGTTGGGAAAGAACTGTTCATTTGCAGTGAAGAAAAGGGTGACGTTCTTTTAGGTGTCTGTTGCATTATGGAAATATTCCCTGTATGAGCTCAGATGTAAAAGAAGGGTGAAAATTACTATTATTTAGTAGTATTTGGTATTGTAGTAGCAGTATTTTCCTTTTGCTTATCAGAGTAGTCTGATAGAAGGTCAATGCTGAGGTTAAAAGAGTTTAAAAAGTAAAAAGATATGATGAGCACATTCTTCTTAGGAAGAAATGAGGAACCCATCTCTTAACATCTGATGTTCGCTCCCTCAGTAAGAAATCGGTGAAATGTTGCAAGTGTCTTTCTGAACTTCTGATGGAAGAAATGTAGGAGAATGAGAAATATCAGCATCTTCCATTCTGGGAAATGTCTTCAATCCTGAAGAAGTCAGTCATGCTTGGGTCACTCCTGGTACAAGTCAGATGATTCTCTTGAAAATCTGTTGTGGGGGCTCTGGCTTTGCTAGGTGCCCTATTGTCATGTTTAACTTCTCTTAAATATACCAGTGTAACAAAATATCTAAGCAAAAGTCTCCTTCATTGCATATTAAACAGTTAACTTCTGTGGTTTTTTCCCCACAAATGGAGAAAGAAATTAATTGAACACAGCCCTTTTCTTGGTGTTTCCCATCAGCAGTCTTTTCTAGACTAGGGGGACCTGGTTTCATTACAGGTCATGTTTGCTAAATTTCTTGTGCTTTTTAGCTTCTTTATTCCTGACCTGTCTCTAGTTTGTGTGTATCTCTCCCAGTAGTAGTGCTGCTTTATTCTTACTGATTTTGGGTTACTTCTTTTGTCAAGCTCATTTTGACTGGCAATTTTGTCGTCCAAAGTCCTGGTACTTCTTCCCAGCTCCTGTCATTTAAAAATACTAATATTGTGCTCTCTGATTCATTGCCTAAGTAGTTAGGGGTACTACTCAACAATTTTGTTAGACCTTTTCAGAATCTCACTTTTGGGATATATTCTCAGGTGGAGCATGGGTCACTGCTAACTCTTACTCTTTGAGCTTTTTTTTTTTTTTTTTAATTCCTAGTTATATGTAAAGCCTAAGCTGCCCAGTCAGTATCAGTAAGTTATATCCATTGATTCCTCCAAGCCATACTCTGCTTTCTGCTGCCATTGCCAAAATAAGTCAATGTAGTCTACCTATAGTCACTGTTTCGCAAAGGCTTCTGAGACCCATGCAAGGCTCAGGCAGGCTTGGGCAGCAAATCTGGTATGCCCAGGATTGTTTTCAGGTGTCGGTTAGGCTCACTGGTCTGTAATTCCTGTATCCTCATTTCTTTCTTTGTAGAATGCTGCTTCTGTTAGAGCTTTTGTGAATTTTAATTTCAATTTTCCTTTAAATTTTTATTTTATCCCGGGACAGTCCTGTGAAAACATTATGGCTTTATGATCAGTCTTAAGTCAATCTTGTATGGTCTTGCCATGAAGAGCGATGGTGCTGCTCTGCCCCACTCATCTCCCTCTTTCAGTTCTCACAGTTGTGTGACCATGCAGTAACTAAAGTTAGTTTTCCATCGCTTTGGTGATCTGATTCAGTTTGCCATGCTACTGCCTCATTGCCCACGACAGCACAAGGGAGGTGGCAGATATACGGGTTCAGGGGGGAGCATAGGACCATTCTCTTTGGCTTCCATACACTGCTGAATCAGCTGCAGCTAATCATGAAATCATGCTGTAAGCATTAATGCTTGTCAGCAATATCATACTTGAATGATTTTTCTGGCAGGAAAACAGTCCTTGGAATACTGTTACCCTGGGAGAGGGCGTGTCAATGAAAATGAGTTTGTGTACTGAGGTACTGTATCTGAATAGGTGCCGCTCCGCTAAGTGTACCCTTTGCAGAAATTGAAACAAGCTAAGAGGCACCTTGCTCCTGAATGTGGAAATCAATGAATTTGCCTGCTGCTTTGCACCTCTGAGATGAGATCTGAAGGCAATTTATGAACATAGACAGTTCTATGATGGACCAACGCACTTAGCTTTCCTTAAATATGACTGTGATATGCATCAGGGAAGACTATACCCCTCAAAAGGCCTGACAGTATGTTCTAAACATATTATTTCTGCAATTTTAGGTGTGAGGGACATCCATGCTGACCATGCAGCCAGTCACATTGGGAAAGCGCAAGGCATAGTTACCTGTTTAAGAGCAACTCCGTATCACAGTACAAGACAAAAGGTCTTTCTTCCCATGGACATTTGTATGTTGGTAAGAGAAGCAAGTTGTCTGGAATTGAACAGTATAGTGTTTCTAATGTATCTCTCAACGCTAGATATGAGATCATAATTTATTAGGCTAGAAACAGAACACCTTTTTTCTTTATTTTAATTCTTTCTGCTGTGGCCTAGTAATATGCCATAGTCATGGTTTTATATCTTTTGGGAGGTGAGAGGAGTGACCTTCATGAAACTCTAGGGTTTCTGTTTTTTTGTTTTTTAATTTTATTAAATGTAGTAGTATTTTAGCTTTCAGGAATTTTTCCATTTATGTGTAGAAATACACATATGGAATGGGGCCTGTTTTTTGTTTTGTTTTGCTTTTTTCCTTTTTTCTTTTCCTATCCCCATAAAGGAAGCACTGTGAGAAATTTTACTTCTGAACAACCTTCTTGGGTTTCTCTTTACTACCTTTTCATAAATGTGTGGCGGTTTTGTTTTTTTTTGTTTTTTTGGGTTGGTTTTTTTTTTTTTTTTTTGGTGTTACATATTTGATAGCTATAAGCATATGTTCCATACATTGCTGTGGGAGATGGTATAGTCCTCCAATTTAAACTGTACACCTAATTTCCATTGGAATTTAGCAGGTCTTGCAATTTGGGTAAAATGGGATTAAAGTTCAAATTTTTTCATTAATGTTCTCTCGCTAGATCTATAGGCATCGCAGCTGTTACTCCTTTGTCTCCAGTCTTCATTTTTAAATGTTAATGCTGTTCTTTTTATACTTAACCAAAATTTATGTAATTATGGTGATGCTTAAGGCAGTTGTGTTAGTATTTTCTGAATATCATTTCAATAGAATTGAAACTTTTGATTTGAAGTTTAGTAATTTAGATAGTTGCAAAAAACATAGATACTAATACAGGTCAGGGTTATAAGACGGCAGAAAGGAGCTGCACCCTGCTTTCAGCCCTCCTGGGACTGGATGGTATGGGAGGCCTTCCAAGTTTTTAGCTTTTCAAACATAGCCTGAAAATTCACAGTCATTCCTTGCCATGGAAGGTGTTTTACAGTGAAACTGTAAAAACAGCTTGCATCCCTTCTGTTCAGACTGAGCATCTTGTAAGCATTTCAGCTGCTGGCAAGTATTGCAGAGTTCTACTGGAGTCTGGTAGGTGAAGCCTACCTGCCTACCTTTATACAGCTTTCACGTCTGAGTGTTGTTGAGAAGAACAGGCAACTGGTGCAATTCTGAATATACCATATGATGGCTTACATTGGTCACTATAGTCAAAGAATAAGTTTGGGGTTTGTTTTTTTGGGGGGGTTGGGATGGGGTTTTTTTGGTGGTGGTTTTTTTTGGGGGGGTGGTGGGGTGCTGGTTTGGGTTTTTTGCAAGCCTGGTGGTGCACACCAGTCCCAAGATAATGACTTACTTCATAAGCCAGCATGGCTTCTGTGTTAGCTGTTACTGGCTTTCTTCTGCTTAATATCGATTCATGGATTATGGTTTTAAAAATTGGGCATCTAAACTCATCTACATTCCCAAAACTTTAAAATCTGACTTGGTTAGCTGACTGACCACAAAGTCTTTAGGGAAAAAATTCATGCAGAGGGAGTCTGTACCAACTGTTCTCTTTGTTCTCTTGACTTTTTTTTCCCCAAGTGACTGACAAAAAAAAAGGGGAAGTAAAAAAGGAGGGGGCAGTGGTAAAACATTCAGGCTGGTTTAGTCTTGTGTCATTAGTTCGGTTACTGGGACAGGTCTTTGAGAAGCTAAAATGGAAACTTGGTATTTACTGAGGGTTTTTCTCTTTTTTATTTTCCTTCCTATGTCTAGCATGGAGTTTCACAAGAGGATTTCATAAGAGGCAAGCAAGAGAAAAATGTGAGAGATGTAATTTATGACATTGCCAGCCAGGCCCATATTCATCTAGAAGATGTGAGATTCCTTCCCTTTTATTTATTTAAACAAACATAACTGAAGCTAATCTTCACAAAGCATTGTGCATATGTGTTGTTAGAAGACTTACAGCTGCATACTTAATTTCAAATATTTTACCTTTAATGACTTTGAGAGTTTAAATTAAAAAAAAAAAAGCAAAACACCACACAAAACCTTTAAATATTACAACTACTTCTGTATGAATATTATATTTATCTGTATGTACAGGAGGCAGTTTATTCACAGCCAGGTCCAATTGCATATATATAAATACTGCCTAAAAGCCTTATTACTGGGAGAGAAACTTCAAGCAGACTTTTATAAATGCAACTATATGCCAGCATGGGATCAGCACCATAGAAAGCACTTCTGCATATGGTATTTCACAGCACAGTGAAATGGCTGCCAGGAAAGCAGAGCATGTTGCCTTTAACTGCTGGCTAGTGTGTGTGGGAGGGGGGATTCATTCCCTGACATGACCAGCCATGCTCAAAGCCATGTTGGGAAAGGTGCTTTCTGTTTATTTCTTTTCTGGCTCACAGCCAAGTGAATTAGGAAAGACTGTTTGCTTGGAACAGTGGATAATGAATCCTGAAGAACTGCAGAGTCCTACTCTATTTTTCTTTTATGCTCTTATTTTAGCTACACTCTGAATTGCTTGTTGGTACGTAACACAAAAGCAAAAGGATGTTTCATCAGCAATGCTGTATCTGGAAAACAAAACTTGCAAGAAGCACTGTAAAGAGTTTCTTATGTCTACAAGTACATGTACGCGTATACTTTGAGTATTGCACCCAATACTTCCAGTCAAGGTAGTCTGAAAAGATACCACTTCAAAGTAAAGAAATGCCAGATTTATCTCTGCATTTACACCATTAACATAATCCCCAATTACAGCGTTAACCTGTAATCACAGTATTTTATGCAGTAGACATAGGAGAGCCCTTCTTCATTTTTCTGAAGGTAAAATGAAGCATCCCTGGTTTGTTCAGTCAGTGGTTAGTTAGTTGATTAATGTTTTTATTTTTTGTTAATAATATGTAGCCTTGGGCTTTATTTTTAATACAGATTATTTATAATTTGCATTTAATGCATTCCTGTTCATGTTGTTTCACCTGATGTCTCAGTTTTTGTTGTCACATGCCCAATGAAACTGTTTATTCCATTTAGAAGCAGGGAACAGAGACAAAGAAAATGCAAGGTCAAAACTGTCCTCTATCTTTGTTCAAGCTGAAATATTTTGATTTTTCTTTTTTCATTCCCCACCCCTCAACCCATAATGCACAGTGTGTAAAACCCACTGACTTTGGTTGCAGCTGTGGCTTACAAAAAGTGCCGAGTACCTGGCCTGAAATGCCTCATGTCAGGGATGGGAGGCATGGAAAACGAGCAATGTGCATTTATTGTCCACCTGTTTAAAATTTGGTTGCTGGTATTGCAGGAAAACTTTGGGACAGAAGCAGGAAGAGAATTCAGTTCTTCAGAGCCTTTCAGATAATTTGATAATTCTTAGTGTGTTGATCCCCTGGCTCCCAACGTGCCAACCAGCTTCTGAAGAGAACAGGCAGAACGTTACCCCCCCTTTCTTCCCACTCCATTCCTAGAGCCCTGCCCATGTTATGCACTGGGAGAGTCCTATGGAAAATATGCAATGTGATCATGTAATTGGAGACTATACTGAATAAACACAAGGAAACCAGATTAGGGCAGCATTAGCATTTTATTCGATTGAATGTTGATCTTGCTGCCCTCTCCCCCCTCTTTTTTTTTAAATGGATGGGTTATATCATCTTAATTAAAAAAATTCCTCTCTGAATGCTTGCTTCCAGCCTCCATCATCATCAGTGAAGAATAATTGACAGTGCAGGATCTCTAGAGTGTTCAAATCACTTGAACTGGCAATAACTGGCAGTAATAACAGGGTATTAGCCTCCTTGATAATCAGATGGTCTTTGTTAATGCAAGGATAAAGATACTTTCTCCCCTAATGGATGAAATGGGCTTTTGCTGGCAACATTTGCTGGGTATTTCAAGACTTTACATGAATGTAATGGGCTGGTGCCTTTAAATGCATCTGTTCTCCTGTAAAAAATCAACATCTTGTTTTGCCTGAGGGTCTTTTCAGCCAGTTACCCTCTGTCTTAGTTGGAATTACAGGGCAGGGTAAAGTTTAAACCTTCAGAGAGGTTTCCACAATCTCAGCATTTGTTACACAAACCACATATTTTGGACGATGAGGGTAACAGTTACTAGCCCCCTTTCACAGTCAGAAGAAACATAATCCTCAAATGCTAAATTAAGTCTCAGCGATATTATATGAAACATATTGTAGTAATGTGGCACTTAATCTTCGGAGAAAAGTTTCTGAAGCGTGGTCAGCTCTTCTTGATACTGCGACTGATGACCAGCAGAGGGCAAAATAAGATAATGAAGGTTGCATTTTTCTTTAGGAATTGTGTTTTATTAGAATAAAAGCATATAATAAAAGTGCTCTGTCAGTCCCACAGTGATCCCTTCAAAAGCCTGCGAATACATCTACATGTTCCCCTTCTTTCTCTTAAGCACCCTCTCCCCCATTCCTCTTTTTAAAAGAGGGTCTCCTTTTGGCTTTTTGCATTTATCTCAGTTATGCTAACTCATTATGGGCTCGATTTACTGAGGAAGATAACATGCTTTCTGAATGACATGCAACCCATTCTGGGTTAAGAAGGACAAGCAAGATTACTTTCTTTTTTCATCTCACAATTAATATAATAAGGCAGAGCTAATGCTCTGATCAGGGAAGAGCATTTTCCTTTTTTTTTTTTTTATACACACACACACACACATGTTACTACATTTCAAATTCTGAAAAGATTCAGTATTTTTCCCTCCTAAACTTTCAGCCTGATTTTCTCTGTTGTCTGGAAAGATCCGTGGAAAACTAGCAGAAACTCATACATTCTCATCAGTATTCATAGAGGGTTTGTTTGTTTGTTTTAACCTGTAAGAAAAGGCAAAACAAGGAGGGATTCTGTATTTATAAGTAAGCATTACAGGAAGATTTGCTTCAGCTCTGTTAGATGTACCTGAGTTGTACATGGGTTTAAATTGTGGATTTGGTTCAGCCATGGTTTAGACTCTGTTTATCCGTAGATACTGAGGACCTGAGGCATTGAGATCCTTTTGAAGTCCCATAAATGTAAATGGAGCATAACTGGACTTCTGGGACTGATGGCAACACTGGACCAAAAAGAGGCACTCAGAGAAATGCATATCTGGCCTTCTATCATTTCTGTCTCTTGGGATGCAGAGAGTTACTTGGTGGGGGAAAAAAAGCATTAAACCGTATTTATTAAATCAGATGCAGCTTGGAACTTTGTTGGAACAAGGGATGCTAGTTTACATTGGTTTATTATATGTCAACTGTAAGGTTGTCAAAACATGTAAGAATTTTCGCAGGCCTCTCCCAGTATTACATACTTTCAGTGTAACTACTTTTGTGTACAGTGAGGGATGGTGCTGGCTTGCACAGAATGGAAAATTACAGTTTCAGGATGTCAAAATAAAAAGGACGAAGCTTGTAATACAGTCTCTTGGCTCTAACCATTGTGTATAGTACTTGATGTTTAATCTGAAATGTTAAATTCTCCTGATAAGTACATTTTTTTTTTTCCCTTCCCCTTCCACCTTACCCCATTTACTTTCAGGCTAGATCTTTCAGTAAGAAAGTTCCTGTGAAGGCATATCCTGCTTTTTTCTGTACGGTGGGTGTGATATCATGCACTCTTTAAGTGATAGACTCATTTCTGTGCTAATATGTTTCTGAAGAGTAGCGTATGAAATTAAGCATCGTTAACTAATGGTTCATGTGTCTATTTTGGGAGGATGTAATACCTAAAACTTCTGAATATCATAATGTGTGTCTGACTGTGGAACCTCATAGTTTTGATCAACACTTCTAATCCTTCTTCTTTAACTACATCATTTCACCCAAGATGTCTGTATATTCATAGACCATTGTGCTGAAGAGTAGAGTATGAAATTAAGCATCGTTAACTAATGGTTCATGTGTCTATTTTGGGAGGATGTAATACCTAAAACTTCTGAATATCATAATGTGTGTCTGACTGTGGAACCTCATAGTTTTGATCAACACTTCTAATCCTTCTTCTTTAACTACATCATTTCACCCAAGATGTCTGTATATTCATAGACCATTGTTCTGATGCAAGGACCCAGAATCTTGCCTATTTTTATAATTTGCTGTTTGGTCTATTAAAAGATAATGCTTCTCTTCACAAAACCTGCCTTTTTTTTATCCTTTGATTGTGATGGTTATGCTACCACTAAATAAAACAAGCAAACTGTCAAGCCTTTTTGCAGTTCCTCATTCGGTTTCATGTATTGCTTTTTAAACTTAATGCCCAATTATTTCTTTGCACCATATGGACTAAGCTTTTTTCTTCTTTTCTAGGTTGCTTTAGATGATTATTTATGCAATATGCGAAAAGTGGACTTCAATATATTTCATCCAAGCTTACAAAAGAAGAGTACGTTATTACCATTGCATTTATATATTAGATCTTGGAAAAAAACATATTAATTTTTTTTAATATGGGTTCAGAGTGCTGAGTTTTTTCTTTAACGTCTTAACTTGATAGAATTGTTAAGAGTCTGACTTCACACTTCTGCAAACTGTAGTTCATGGGAAGCAGCAGATGCGCATGAACTGTAGCTGTCAGCTTGCTGGCAGCAGTTGAGTTTGTTCTTGGAATATTAGGCTGATATCTCTGCTGCACATGTCTGCCAAGTCGTATGTCCTTGTCTGAGATTGCTTTTCTTGTCTTTCCTGTAATAACAGCAATATGATAGAATTCTTCTTGGACAAATTCTTTGCTAATGGATACTCCTGACAATTCTGACACTTTACTGATTAAAAAAAAAAAAAGAAAAAAAAAAAAAAAAAAAACTGCTTTGTTTGTGCCCAAAAGCAGTTACAGTAAATGCCTTATAAAATCAGCTAAGCAATTCTGTTTAGTGAAAGGAGCAGACTTTTTGCGAGTACTAATGATGCTTTGTAGTTGGAAGAATGACCACATATATTTGAATGCAAGAAAACTGTCAGTTTTAGTGTAGTGTTTATATAGAATTTCAGAATGGTGAAATAGAGCTGTAGTACAGAAATCGCTTAACTGCATGTTGAGATCAAGCCTTGAAGTGACTACAGGTAGTGGGAGGATAGCTCTACAACATACAAAGAGAACCCTTACACAGTTTTTCTCTCCAACTCAGCCAAAGACTTTTTCAGACTGCTCTTAGTGTGGCAGTATCTTCCTCCTGGCCTCTCATCTCTCTGTTGCCCACAGCTGTCATTGCAACGTCGGTTCGACTGCCCCTTTGTTCATATTCACCATGTCTCAGGACACCCTCTTAGGAGGCTTCCCTGAATTCCTTTTCTTCGGTACTGTGAAGAAACATATTCCTGAATGTTCCAGGTCATTTTAGTCCTCCCTCTCTGTAAAGATACTGCTCTGTTTTTTTGGTGGGAAATTACTGGAAGCTTTGTACTCAGCACCTCTTCGGATCAAGGTAAATATTTCTGTTTGACTTGTTGTTTGGTAGAATAATACTTCCTAACATCCAACTTGATTCAATTGCACAAATCCGGTAGTTTATTCTGCCATCATCCTTGTTCTATTAAATAGCTGCTTTTCTCAGAGATTTTTTTTTTTTTTTTTTTTAAATCGGGGTTAAT